AATTGTTACGTTTGTTAAACAAAGCACAGACTCAGAAGTGTCTGCTCATAAAAGAAAAACTTGTTTTAACTGAGTTGAAAATAGCTCATTTTATTGCCAAAAACAATTTGCCACTTCCAGACTCCAAAATTGCAAGTTTTTTGATGAAGATGATGGTAAAACCCAGTACCAATTTTACCAACTTGTTGATCTCACTGAAGCTACTGCTGATGCAATTTTTGAGCAGATTAAGCAATGTTTTGTGGAAGATGGCATCCCCCTGAAAAATGTTATGGCACTTGCTACAGATGGTAGGTTCAAGAAACTCTGTACTATCTCGCTTCAAAATAGAGCAGCTTTTCGTCTTTCACATTTATTGTACCTGCTATATTGCTGCCTTGTGTGCTGTAGATGCCTGTAAACCATACCTAAAACTGTTGAGCAGCTTTGCAGAGACATACATAACCTCTTTGCATATAGTTGCAAATGCATACAACTGTATAATAATGCATCAAAGATGCAGCGCAACCCACAAACCTTCAAGTCTGAAACATAAAGTCCAAAGTAGTAAGATCTTCCACCAAATTATCCACATGTATCACCAAATTTTCCACTTGTCCTAATATCTATGTGCATCAATATCTTCTATACCTGATCATCAGTCACTCATGCATACACCTCCCATGAACAATAAATGCTCCCCTCCAGACTAGTCACTGATGGCTAATCAAATGTCACATGTGCTTTTGCCTCTTTCACAGGCTGCAAACAGGATGGCTCCAGATTCACTCCTCCACAGATGAAAGTGACTTCGGGTTCAGGAGCCATTCACAATGTCACTTCCAGTTCACTGGTGGTTGCTGTGGTAATGGCTTGGAGGGTATATAAGAATGTCCTGCTAGCCTGCTCCAGTTTTACTGAGGAAGCCTGTTGGTTGGGCATAATGCTCATAGGAGTGGAGTGGGGTGGTCATCTTGATGTCAGTAGTGGAGGTGGCGAGACAGAGACCTGCTTGTGTTTATTATGCACTGTACATATCACTGTGTGTGCACTGACTTGTGAGTGTAATTTTAAATATTGAATAAATCTTTTTACTGTGCGGAGAGCACTATCTTTCCCTATGCTTTCATTATTTAAAAAATGCTTCTTATGTTAGTGGAGGATCTGTGAAACAGTGAGAGCCATCTGTGGTGGAGTGAATCTGGAGCTATCCTGTGTGCAGCCCGTGAAGGAGGCACACGCGCATGTGACCCTTGACTAGCCATCGTGGTCTAGTCTGGAGGTGAGCATACATTTTTCATGGCAGGTGTATGCATGAGTAGCGCTGGTGATCAGTTATAAAAGATATCGGTGTACAAAGATATTGGGGCATGTGAATAATTTGGTGGTACACACCGGTAATTTGGTGGAAGATCTTACTACTTTGGACCTTATGTTTTGGACTTTATTATAATTTATAGTGAAGGTTTTTGGGTTGTGCAGCATCTTTTGCAGTGAAGTGGAGTGAAACCACTTTATGGTGCATGCAGGAACCTTATGTTTAATTATTGATTTATATGCAGTCTTATGTTTATATGTTTGATGACTTTTGTGGTGTAAGGGGTAAACATATAGTGGCTGCGCTGATTGATAATTAGGTTTGGTGCATACAATTGTATAATGAACTTCAGGAATTTGTTGAGGCATTATTGTTTGAAGATTTAACAGCTTTGTTCTACTAGATGGCTCGCTATGCTTGAGTGTGTCAACCACATTCTCAATCAATATGAAGCCCTGTAAAGTTACTTTCTAACAAGTGATGATGCAAACCGCTTGTTGACTGTGGAACGGATAAGTCTCTTGCTACAGGATCCTATTACTAAGTGCTACTTTCTGGTCCTTCAAGCAGTTCTGCCAAATTTCAACCAATTCAATCAAAGTCTTATGTGCTACTTTATCAGGCCAAACCTCTTAGTTGCCTTTGATGATGTACTGATGTACTGATTGCATTTGACCACACTAACAGTGCTAACTTTAAGTCAACAGACAGCATTTTCATTGGCTACCAAGCAAGGGAACATCTGTTTACAGTAGATGATTTGTCATTTGTTCAGCCACTCATGGTCCAAATAACATGTAACACCGTGCTATAAATGTCTAATGCAGGATGTTGAAGATAGCACAAGATGGAAGTGTTCTGAAGAACAGTAGCAGCCACATGTTGAAGAATAGTATGCTGAATTGCAGGACTTTACTGAAGAACAGTGCACCGGAAACTACATTTCCCAGAGGAGCTTGCATGTGGGTGGGGCCAGGAGCCTGGCCAGGAAGTGAGAGACCAAGAGGAGGAAGTGTGCTAATGGCCAGAGTGTTGGACCAGGCCGCAAAGCAAGATTCAGAGAGGGAGGAGAAGCAGATAGAGTTTGCTGATCGCCAGTCTTTCCACACTGCTCAGTGAGCCAAACTGCAAGCAGGAAGCCAGTTGGGAAGCCAAATCAGGACCGGAGAGTCTGTGGGAGCCCCCAGCTGCGGGGAAAGACTGACCGGTAAGACGTACCAGACACCATTACTATGGTGAGAGAGTCCTATATACCCACTAACTGAGAAAACATTGACAATTTCACCAAATTTTCTATCTACCTCGACATAGTTGCAGACATTATACATAGATACCCTAGTTTGCGACCTAGTTCTCGTAGTTGCTACCGTGGAACACATTCGCGTTAGTCTCATTATTCAAGCTCACTGCAGGACACACAGCTGCAGACCAGAATACAGCAATGCCAACTGAAACAGCAATTTAACCTTCCAAGTTGAACAGGATTTCTACTACTGTTGCCTGTGGTCCTTGTTACCCAGAGAGAGAGTTGTTCTTGCTTACTGACCCTTATGCCAACTGTTACACTTTACTACTTTAAATCTGTCCTTGTTTAGTGCCTTAAAGGGGACCTTACATTGGTTTACCATCATTAAAAGGAGAAGAACTTATTAACTATCATCTACACCCTAGATCATCTTTACACCAATTGAGCCCCAACTAGCATGCAGAAGACTTCATATTGTTTTTAAAGGGACATTGGTTAATTATAGACAAGAGCTCTCTTCATTTTCAAATCTAATCTTTGCCATCAGGTTCTGAGGACCTGCAGTGAGCTTATCTGTTTATTGATAGCTGTTCTCGCTTGCTTGGGGTTCAACAGTCACCTCAGATCGGAGGCAGTGGATTATTTCTGAAAGCAGGTCTGCTAACAGATACTGGTACTTTTCTGCGGATAATATTACTTTTACTAAAAGTTGACCAGAGTGATTATATTGTTGCATATGCCAATGCTATTTTGTGTTTTATTTTTTGTTTTTTTTATCAAGTTACGTTCACACTCAATATAAACTTCATATTGATTTACACTAACTTGTGTTTGAGTCCATTTTACAGTGGTGACTTAGTCGGGTCACATGAGTGTGGTGGTATCAGTAGAGATTGGACTTTCAGAAAGAGGTCCAGATTGCGAAGGAACACAAAAATGACTAAGCAACCCATAAGGGGGTAGTGCTACCAACATTTTACACAAGAGCAGTAACTGCCATTAAAAAATGCATGCCCATTGGAAACATAATCATTCAACTGTTGGCTTACTTAACCTCCCTGGCGGTATTCCCGAGTGTAGCTCGGGGTAAAGTTTCAGTACCACAAGTGGTAACCCCGAGCTACCATCCGGAATGCCATGCGGCGCTGCTCAGCGATCCCTCGGTCACTTACCTTGTCCTGCGCTCCCGCGATGTCCCTCCTGCAGTGTCCCCGGCAATGTAATCCGGCGGATGCCAGCATCTGTCATCTGGGTTCCATCCTCTGTGAGCATCGGGATGTACGGGGGACGGAACGGCGGGAAATTGGAAAATGACAAAAAGTGACATTCACTAAAATCACATAGTAAAACATTACTGTACTAAACCATTTCACATACATTTTGTCCCTAATGCTTTGTCCTGTGCCCTGCCTGCATTTTTACTGTTTCTACCTGGAAACTGAGAAATGTCCATGGTGTCCAAAAAGCATCCCTTTAGGTCAAAAGCGGTTTTAGACCAACTAGAGAACAGCGGTAGTAAATCAGAACCACTTGCAGAATTGAGTGATAATAATTTGTGGGGAAATTCGTCATCAAACACTGAAAACAATTTTGCGACTTTGCTCAATGCTGTGCGAACTTGGCACTATATTTCAAATTTCAGTGTTTTTGGTTTGATTATATTATTGAATTAAATTTATTATTATTATAATATTATTTTTTATGATTATTTATTAAATTATAATTTATGATTTTGTGTTTCAAGTTTTATCCTACCCAGGATGTTTACTAGACTCTTGTTCGGACAGATTTCAGTGAGTTATTCCTAAGAATTACAGGACTACAATATAAAACGCCAATTTTCCATGCAAAATAATGGTACCGCTTTCAGCACCAAAAATCTAAAATAATTATACTGCCAGGGAGGTTAAAACCTTCAAACAGGTCTACTGCATACTGAATTTATTCAATACCAAGTAACAGATTTCATAAATGATCCCCAGGGTCAGACAGTGACTCTCACATATGATGCTTATTGGCACATCGAGACAATCTGAAAGTACCTAAATTCCCACTTCTGGTTATCTTTGCAAAAATGATGCTTGCCCTTCCTCATGGGACTGATGAGGTCGAACATCTGTTTTCCTCTGCCAAGTTAAGCAAAAGTGATTTTAGGAAAAAACTTTCATCTTCCATGTTGGAAGGACTGCTGTCAGCAAAGAGTGATCCAGGGAGAATTGCTCAGGAAATGCCTAAACATGTTGATTACACACTGGGGAGTGCAAAATCTGGTGCAGCTCCGCATAGAAACCAATCAGCTTCCAGGTTTTGTCTCCAAAGCCTAACTGAACGAGCTGAAATTAAAAGTTGACTGGCTACCATGTACAGCTGCAACAGATTTTGAGTGCTTCAGTTTTAGTAAATCAACCCCAATGCATGACTACAAGTCTGAAAATGCATCGAAAGCTAAACGCAAACCTGCTGGTAATAACATGTCTAAGGGGGAGGACAATGATGATGTGGTGCTGGTGGTGGTGTAGGACCAGGGGCGGACTGACCATTTGGAAACTTGGGCACTGCCCGAGGGCCCAGGGTTAGTAGGGGGCCCCATGAGATGCCCCTGGTACCTTTTTCATAGGCTTTTTTGAGTTTGGGCAAGGACACAGGGGCCCCATGATCCCCTATTGCCCGGGGGCCCTATGAGTTGTCAGTTCGCCCCTGTGTAGGACTATTGCAGACAGTCACAATTTGCCAACATGAGCTTCTTCATACCATTTGTATAACAGGAATGTTTGTACTGTAATAACATTAGAAATACTTGTACACCACACACACCATTACACTTTGACTTCTCAAAATGTTGGTTACAGTTACGGCCACTCCAGGCCTAAATGGATTTCTATGTAATTCTTGCAGCAGTTTTCACTGGAACAGGTGGTGAGGGGAAGCCCTCACACAGGGACACCTGTTCAACTGAAAACTGCTGCAAGCTCCTTTTAACAAACTGCAATAGTCTTTGACTCTTGCAGCAGTTTGCACTTGTACAGGTGGTGAGGGGAAACCTTCACATGGGGATACCTGTTTCACTGAAAACAGTGCAACTTCTGTTATGGAAATGTTGGTTACAGTTACGGCCACTACAGACATAAACGGTTTTCTATGTATTTCTTGCAGCAGTTTTCACTGGAACAGGTGGTGAGGGGGAAACCTTCACACAGGGACACCTTTTAAACTGGAAACTGCTGAAAGCTTCTTTAACAAACTGTTATTTGAACAATGCATTGGCATTATTGTCTCTTTGGTAACTGCTATGTCACTTTTTCATGTCTGTGCTCCAGATGGGGAGAATCTCCCTTCACTTGCCCTGTTTACCATTCATCTAAACTCAGAACAGAAATAGAAGAGACCAAATTCTATTGATCCTGGGATTTCCCCTCTATTTCTGTGGTGGCTAATTGTCTATGGAAGGGGACTCCAAACTATGGCCCTCCAGGTGTTGAGGAACTGCAAGACTCTGACAGCCACAGGCAAGATTTCCAGAGGCATGATGGGACTTGTGGTACTTCAACAGCTAGAGGGCCATAGTTTGGAGACCCCTGGTCTATGGGACTGAAATGAAAGGGAAATCTCTCCAGCTGGATGCGGATGACCAAACTGCTTGGATAAATTAACCTGACTTGGAAATGGAGAAATATGTTTTTCTACTTTTCTTATAACTTAAAAACATTGATAATAGCACTAGCTGTATGTTTATGACTTATATATTGATATCTGCACTGGTTTGCACTTTAGTTGGCCATTTTATGTACTTTTTTTGAAGTGTAAAAAATGTGGCTCTGTCAGTAGATCTCATGATTTTTGTCAGTACAAAATCTGTGCTGTTTGTAAATAAGACAAATTTGAATCCATGTATGGGCAGGCTGGTTGTATATATGTTAATCTGCTGATTCACCTCTGTAAAACCAGCTTATGGATTTTCCTTGCTCGATCAGCACCACTGGCTATAGCCGGCTGCACTGCTCCGTGTATTCTGACAGCGGGGAAGCCTCCCCACTGCCAGAATACAATAGCTAAATGGGAGGAGTCTCTCATCCTCCTCGAATGTGTGGCTGGACAAAAAAAGACTCATCTATGGACTGCTTTACATGTACACATTACTTAGCATGGATGAACTTCAGTATGCAGCTTCCTCATATTTTTTTTCTTTTTTGCCTATGCTCTTGTTTAAGCTGGTGTCATGACCGCTGCTCCAGATTTCCTGATCAGGGTGGCTCCTTTCTCTTGCAGTGTGTAATTGAACCACCCTTGAATGCAGGGATTAGAACTGTATCTCCCTGCACTGTGTGCATCAATAGAAACACACAGTGAAAAGTATACCCTATGGCACCACTCCAAGCTTTGGATGGAAGGAAAAAGATCACCCCACAGGCAAGTGAGAAGAGTGGAGCATAAGTCCGGGTGATTCCAGTGTCAGCAAGTGAAGGGATGGATGCTGTTCAACCGACCCCAGGAGTCCACTGTTGAGAAATAGCCTCAGCTGCCAATCTGATCACGACCCTCTCATGCGTTTCGCCTCGCCCACTGGGGCTTGATCACAGAGGTCAATATTGGACTCCTGAGGTCTATTGGACAGCATCCATCCCTCCACTTGCAATGGCTGACAAAAGAAACACACAACCACATAGCTTAGGATGGTAAACCCTACTCCTCCCTCCTCCTCCCCTATCTTCTCCAAATTAACAGACTGGCTGGAGACTGCACTACTCACTGTTAACTTTTTCCTGTAAATACTGGAAATTCAGGGAAGCAAGATAGCAAGCGCCAGCAGCATTGAAAGTTGTAAACCTCAAGTGCTGCAGTTAGAATTTTCACAATAATGTTTTGAGGAATGTTATTTTATTGCACTCAGTGTGTTAAGCTAAAAAAGCAGAAAGCTACATACTGCTTTACCTTTGTTTCTGCCATAGGATGGGTTAGCCTTTAAAGTTTCACAGTTTATCTGAAGCAGTGCTTTGCCTAATTGTCTCTAATAAAAATCCAGTCTTTATTTCTCCTTTTATTCCATGTATTCCACACAGGAATAGAGAATAACTCCCCAGTCCATGGCCCATGTCTAACTTCCAGGCTGGATGACATCCCGTGTCATCCAGCCCCTTTCTCAGTGGCCTAGGAGTCTACACCTCCCCATTAGTCTAGGGCACCATTATAATGGAGTCATCTCCTTTTGAGTGATAGCTTCCCTGCTCAATAATGCATTGATTATAAGGAGGTTTTGTGCCCTACTATCATTCAATCAGCCACTGTTACCCCTACCCTTATGCTCACCCACACTCTCTCTCTTGCCAAGAGTTTTAGAAACATAGAAAAGAGATGGCAGAAAAAGACCAAGTGGTCCATCGAGTCTACCTGTTTTTTTTTTTTTTCTCTTTTATACGTTTTTTTTTTTTTTGGGTTGTTTTTTTTCTTTTATATAGAGATGTATATTTATATAGAGAATAGATCTGTTTGACCCAAGCACATTTGAAACCACTTACCGTTGACTGACTCACTACCTCTGCTGGAAGTCTAATCCAAGCTTTTATTACCTTTTCAGTAAAATAATACTTTCTAAGATTAGTTTTGAACTTTCCTCCTGTTAGTTTGAGGCCGTTTCCCCGTGTTCTTGATCTTGATTTCATGTAGTCTCCATGCTGCATTATGGCAGGGCATACATCAACTACATCAACTGGACTACATGTAGGGCACCTTGCTGACTTCCCTATCCAGCTCCTAGGAGATACAAGCTTCGGATCCGTTCAGACCATGTGATGGCACAGGATATGAGCAATACTTGTATTGTAGGAGTACATCAAAGTAAAGATTTTTTTTTTTAATATATTAAGGGAGAAGCAGAGGGAGGTTGGGTCAATATAGCATATATTTCCATCAATATAGCATATATTTACCTTTGTCTTTTACATTTACCTTCTCTTTGCAATCTCTTTCCCTTTCCCCCCACTTTGTTCAACCCTTGGAACAGAAGAAATACCCTGTACCTCTGGTTATGGAGGAGCATGTGACTCACTCTATGTGACATTCCTGGGCCAATTCCTGTCACATAGGAAATCCATAGACCTGTGTAAGTTATGACTCCAGTGGCTCCCAGGGCTGGAGAATGATATGTTAAGGTGAGCCAGTTGCTTTGCCCTACATGGGTGACTAACTTTGCAGGCAGAGAAAAACATGCATATCATTTCAAACACAATTTGTTTCTGTTACCAGTTAGTAAAGTAGCCCTTTTAAAGCACTTGTATCTATGCTGATCATTCTCTATGCCAAATATATTCTAAGAGGTAAACACGTTTCACATTATTTGCTTCCTCAGGACCTTGTGTGTATGGAGGCAGAGAAGAATAGCCTAACTGAAAAACATACATAATAAATATATATATTTAATACATATATTAGCATAATCAAAAGTATAGGCCTCAATCCATTCCACTTACATATCACCTCAAAATTTCAGAGTGCAAGGTGGTGACCCTCGGTGAGTGCCAACAGGACAATTATATGGGTGAATGTACTTCAATAGCTTATTTCAGTCATAAGGATTGCGATAAATACAGCATATATGCACTGCAGGGGGAGCAAAAAGGGAGAGGGAGAAGATGAAATGAAAAAACAGAAGGTGTTATCTCAGAGCAGAAATAGCCTGCATAGCAGGCAACAAAACAGAACTCTTATACTTACTTAATATACAACTGGCTCTTCCTGCTTGAAATAAATTGCCCCAAATGATGTATCAAAGCCTACAATACTGGTCCTTAAACTCATTCATATAGACTGCAATAAACACAGTAAAATATCATAAAACAATCATATAATATTAGCTAAATATATTCCAATAAATGATAAAAGTAACTGACTTAAGTCTCACAATGGACCATTATTTTAAAGCATACCTGATAAATCTTACACCAATTATACTCTGCTGGAATAATAGTGTTGTATATTGCCAGTCTCAGCAAGTCTAATCAGTATCCTTCACAATTCTGAATATACTAATCCTCTTCAACCAGACCAAACTGACCCCAAAAAGAGTAGATAATACCAATTCATAGCCTTACAACTCACCTCTAGACATCTCTATGTAGTTAAGCCGCCATCCAACTAGCCATTGTCCTCAATCCCTTATAAAGCACAGATGGTTCCAAATGCACCGGTGTGAACTCGTGAGCTGCCACGGTCCATTCGACATCATTCGACACACCAACTTCCGCTCTGTCCACACGCACATCCCAACTGGGCAGAAGTGATTCAAACCACCACTCCCACCTAGCAGCACACACAGCTGCACATGTGCTCTAGCTTGTGCGGATAACCAGTTACACATGTGTGCCAATCATGACTGTAGACCCTGCATCTTGCATCTTACAGTTCCTATTCAAGAACACTCAAACATTAACAATCAGGGCAACCACCCAAGAATCACTGGAGCATGCCTGGCTGCATCCACTGCTTCTCCAACTCCTGTTTTGGGTTTCGGAGTCTCTAAGATTAAGGGATATGGTACAGTAAATAGCAGTCCTAGGTTTAATTTCATTAAGGAAAGTTATGTTTGGTCAGTCTATTACTTTTGCATGAGCTGTAGCAATGCCTCATCACACAAAATTTTCTAATATGAGGAAGCAAAGCCCTGATTCACTACCTAAATGGCTACCTTC